GTAATACTATAGGTTTCAAGCGGTTTTCAGATCAACTTGAATGAATCAAATGAATTAATGGTTGCGGCTATTGTTGTCAAAGAAGTGCATACCTGGAAGAAAGAGAGAGAAATACTCAGGCTTTTTAAAGGCTTTTTTATTTCTGTTTGGATGTCCTTAAACCTTTATTGCTCTTGGATGCTGTGCTAAAAATACATTCCATGGTATTACCATGGGAGTCTTGAATCCAATGATGAATTTGACATGAGCCTCTAAAAGTACTGAAGTAGCATAGCAATCTCAGCTGTTGGATGTCCTTGAACAGAGTGAGAGCTTGAAAGAAAAATAGACTGGTGGGTCTCTTACTATCAGCCTCTTAAAACAGTGTCGGACATAAGATTTAGGAACAGAACAGGTCCATCTAGTCTAGTCTCTGCCTCTGATATCAGCCTGTGGTGGAGGCTTAATAGTAAGGCATAAAATCCCCCCTCTGCTTGGAGAATTGATATTTATGCTCTAAAACGCATCTAGCCAATTCCCCGTTGACAAGGAAATGCTTGGTCATGTCCATTTGTTGTGGAAAATGGCCCGGCCAATGCTGCTTTTGCTTTAAAATGGATTTGTGGATGAAAAGAAAAGATTGGTAAGGACAGCTGAGCAAACAATTCACAAAGAGCAATTCATTTGGCCCATTGACCACACTTTCTTGTTTGCGAATTGTTTACAAATAGCAAACAAATGCCCAGAGAACAGTCTACCTGTGCACACTTGGCTGAGTTTCTGAGCAAGAAAATGCCATCCCCTCAGATGTGTATGTATGTGTGTTTTGCAGTTTGGGTTAAGTCAAATCCACTATGTTAGAGAAAATGGACAGCTTAGAGGAGCGTTCAAGGATATGTCAACACCTGTCAATTGTCACATTTGTGAGACAGGTCTTTGGGTCACTTATGACTTTCCAAAAGACACATGAATTTGCGGATAGTATGCTTTTGTGATTTCAGCATGCTTTTTAAAAAGAGAACACACAATGAATGAGGCATCTTATCCACCTTTTGATCATTATATTCTGTATCGCAAAAGAAAGTAAAAACATAGAAAATCAGTAAAGTCCACTGGGAATGGAGATGGGGCTGACAGATGTCAATGCTAATAAACTGCATATGGGCCATGCAAACATGACAGATAGATGCATCATTTAAGAGGCAGGCTCCCTTGCCCAGTCCAAAGTGAGTCTGTGGTGGGAGGCAGATTTTGCACAGGGGTGGAAGAAGGTAGGTATCTGATAGTCTCTTGAGATGTTGCAGGATTCTTAGGCACATATTGCCAAAAATCTCACGAGAGTAGGGTTTATGAGATCCGGTTAGATTTTTTTATGAGAGCAAGGAATGGGGCCTATACATAGTATCCTTCCATCACCTTTGAGGAGAGCATTTTTTGTCAGGCAGAAGGGGAAAATCAAATACTACAATGCAAGGCAAGTTATTGAGCTAAGGCACAATCTGTATTACAAAGGTGATGCAGATTCACAATCTGAAACACTAAGGCCTATGCCCACTTACCCAGAAGTCCCATTGAACTTGATGGTGCTTACTTTGAGTAGCCATGCATAAGATTACATTCTAACATGGTATAGGATTCGTACCCCAGCAGTACGAGAGCCCTTTCTCTTTGTTTTGATCTTTCTCCATGAATTAATAGAATCACAAAGGCTAAGCCAATTGAATGACTCTTTCTCTGAACTACCTATAAATTTGCTGATGCTGACAAAGTGCATTTGAAGGTTTGGATCAGACCATCCAATTTTTTTGAATTGAATTATGTATTATTTACATTAAGTGTTCCATGTTCGAATAGTGCTTGGTTTCAGTGAAGCTATTCTTGTTTCAGAAGTTGCTGGTTCCAGTTAATTCGTTTTACTCTGTAGAATGCTCACTTGTTTAAATGTATTGATCTACATGCTGGAACATTTCCCAGGTTTCAAAATAGGTTTAACAAATATTGCAGTGTTTAGTAGGGTTTCTTGTTGGCTTCCTCTAACCCTGAGACAGAAGTCTTTAGCTTTCTGGTTTTAGAGGCACCATCTCCCAGTCTTCTGATGTTAGTAGCATAGAATAAAAGACACGGAGAGGCATTGCATCAAATAACATGCAATATTGTTTCAGTGAAACATGGGCTGTAACCAACTAAACTCATGGTAGACCCATTGAAATCAAGAGACTTAAGTTACTCATGTTCATTAATTTCAATAAGCCCTCTGAGCCACTGGCCATTGCCAATGTTAAATTGTGCAGTAACTTTGTCTGAAACTGTTGTCATTAGGATTGTCCTAGGACAGTGATCCAACATAGTGCCTTCCTAATGCTGGACTACAGCTACCATCATTCTTAACCATTGGCCATGCTAGCTGGGGGTGATGGGATATGGAGTCCAAGAACATCTGGAGGCCACCACATTGACTACCCTGGCCCTAGAAGATGGCAGCCATCAACTCAAAAACCTAAGCTGAAAATGAGTCCAGCTTTTGTTTAGTAACTCAGAGGAACTATGTGAGCACATTCAAATCTCAAGGGCTCTGAAAAATTAAAAATGAATGGTGGGATCATTTTATTTTGATTTTACCTTGAAATTTTAAACAAAAATTATTTGTTTCAGCAGGACCTGCCCAAGTAATGAGTTTCTATTTAAAAGGGGGAAAATGCTAATCAATATTCAATTCTGTTTCAGTGGTTTATTCTACACACTAATGCAGCATTTGATTAATTAATTGACCCAGTGCCAAGCAACCATAGCATTGTGAATTTGCATTGCAACTTAAATTAAACAAAATGATTTGTTCCACTGTGTCAAATTACTTTTTGCAAGGTGGCCTTCAGTTTGCTACATTTGTCAGGTTCCAGATGCAAACAACACATGCTTAGTGGGTTATTTTCAGCACTATTTAATAGCTTTTTCTGCAATTTAAAAATGTTCCTATAATGATGTTTGAATTCTGGGTATGGCTAATGCATACTTAACAAGACTTTTGATGACAGCATGTATTAATTTCATTGCATATTATTTGGACTTTTATACCTTCCCACCCCAAAATGCAATGCAACATTTAAGTCCAAGAAGAGGTTATGACATAGACAACATGGGGCTTTCCAAATACTGTGGACCACAGCGCCTATCATTCCTGACCATTGATTGTGTTATCTGGGGCTGGTGAGTTTTGTGGTAGAACAACATTATATGGATGTTGGCTACACCTGCCTCAAGACAAGACTCCTACAAAATCACTATATCTCCAGCTAAAAGTATTTACTGGCCATTAAAAGGTAGCTAAAAGTGCAATACTTTGAAAGAAGACTGAGATTTTCACTTACAGATAAATGTGAAGCAGATATTACAACACTCGTTTGATAGAAAAAGCATGTCCTGAGCCTTGGGGAAAAATGAAAGGAGAGAGAAAAAGCATACGTATCTCTAATTCTGGCATATCTGTGGTTTTGGATTATATGTTTTGCTGATGAAATCTAGAGTGCATTCACAAAATTCAGGATGTCGCATGTTTTCTTTCGGATTCAGACCATTTGCAGAAACGTTTTAATGTTAGGATCCGTTGAAGGCCTGAACATATTTCTGTATATATTATGCAGACCTTTTGCTTGAATGGTATACTCAATAGTATTACCTTGTTGGAGATTTCCCCCTATGACAGATTACTGTCTGGGGTTTCATTTAAAACTCATATAACCCCTATTTTGATACAAATGCATGTTACGAAAAAGGAGCAATGCGAGCTCCAGCTGGCTGGAATGCCAGACAGGATGTTGATGCTTGTGACTGTACCGTGGGAACAAAGGGGCAGTCTATTCACTGTGCTGAGCACCGGATGTTAGCTCAGAGTGTCATCTGACCTGTACTGGAAGTACAGGGGGAGGAGTTTCTCTCTCTCTGCTGTTGGTGTTAAGAGAGTACAGACATGTTTCTCTGTACTGCTGAAAGACAGAAATAAAAGGCATGTAAATACATTTCTGTCTGTCTCTTTCCCCTCCCTGGGGAATGGCAGGGAGGAGGGGAAGAGTGGTGTGTTCTTCTCACGTTAGAGGAGGATCGCCGATAGAAGATCTCCCCTGGTCTTGCCGGGAGTCGCAGACGGGGAGGTAAACAAGGAATTAAGCCCGGTGCCTGGAGAGTGGCCAATTCCTCTGATAAGGCTTAATTCTAACAATGCACTGGTTTCCAGTTCATTTCCGGGCCCTACCTGTGAAGAGATCCAAGATTTAGAACCTCAAAGCCAAAGTGAGAGCATTTGGGTCAAAATTAAGGGAGAGAAGAATAACAGAGACCTCATTGTGGGAGTTTACTATAGATCCCCAAGCCAAACGGAGGACATAGATGATGCCTTCCTGGAACAGATGGCCAAGCATGCAAAAGGAAGGGAGATAGTAGTAATGGGGGACTTCAATTACCCGGATATTTGTTGGATGTCAAACTCAGCCAAGAGCATAAGGTCAAACAGATTCCTCACTGGCCTTGCAGACAACTTCATTGTCCAGAAAGTGGGAGAAGCAACAAGAGGAACAGCCATTTTAGATCTCGTCCTAACCAATGTTGATGACCTGGTTAGTGGGGTAGAAGTGGAAGGATCATTAGGCACGAGTGATCATGCTCTTCTGAAGTTTACTATACAGCGGAAAGGAGCAGCCAAGCATACTAGGACTCAATTTCTTGACTTTAAGAAAGCCGACTTCATAAAACTTAGGGAAGTGCTGGGTGAAATCCCATGGACAGTAATACTAAAAGGAAAGGGAGTTCATGATGGCTGGGAGTTTGTTAAGAGGGAGATAGTAAAAGCACAACGTCAGGCAATACCAATGAGACGGAAACATGGAAGGTGCCTAAAGAAGCCAGGGTGGCTATCTAAAGAACTTTTAACTGAGTTAAGATTAAAAAAGGATGTGTACAAAAAATGGAAAAGGGGGGAAACCACCAAAGAGGAATTCAAACAAATAGCCAGCACGTGTAGACACAAAGTCAGGAAAGCTAAAGCACAGAATGAACTCAGGCTTGCTAGAGAGGTTAAAAGCAACAAAAAAGGCTTTTATGGGTATGTCCGTAGCAAAAGGAAGAACAAAGAAACAGTGGGGTCACTCAGAGGAGAAGATGGTGAAATGCAAACAGGGGACACAGAAAGGGCTGAACTCCTCAATGCCTTCTTTGCCTCAGTCTTCTCCGATAAAGAAAACAATGCCCAACCTGAAGAATTTGGAGCAAATGATTCAGCAAAGGAAACACAGCCCAGAATAACTAAGGAGATAGTACAAGAATACTTGGCTAGTTTAGATGTATTCAAGTCTCCAGGGCCAGATGAACTGCATCCAAGAGTATTAAAAGAACTGGCAGATGTGATCTCAGAACCACTGGCAGTCATCTTTGAGAATTCCTGGAGAACAGGCGAAGTCCCGGCAGATTGGAGGAGGGCAAATGTTGTCCCTATTTTCAAAAAGGGGGAAAGAGAGGACCCAAATAATTACCGCCCAGTCAGTCTGACATCAATACCAGGGAAGATTCTGGAGCAGATCATTAAGCAAACAGTCTGTGAGCACCTAGAAAGGAATGCTGTGATCACCAATAGTCAGCATGGATTTCTGAAAAATAAGTCATGTCAGACTAACCTGATCTCGTTTTTTGACAGAATTACAAGCCTGGTAGATGAAGGGAACGCAGTGGATGTAGCCTACCTTGATTTCAGCAAGGCATTTGACAAGGTGCCCCATGATATTCTTGTAAAGAAGCTGGTAAAATGCGGTCTTGACTATGCTACCACTCAGTGGATTTGTAACTGGCTGACTGACAGAACCCAAAGGGTGCTCATCAATGGTTCCTCTTCATCCTGGAGAAGAGTGACTAGTGGGGTGCCACAGGGTTCTGTCTTGGGCCCGGTCTTATTCAACATCTTTATCAACGACTTGGATGATGGACTCAGGGGCATCCTGATCAAATTTGCAGATGACACCAAACTGGGAGGGGTGGCAAACACCCCAGAGGACAGGATCACACTTCAAAACGACCTTGACAGTTTAGAGAACTGGGCAAAAACAAACAAGATGAATTTTAACAGGGAGAAATGTAAAGTATTGCACTTGGGCAAAAAAAATGAGAGGCACAAATACAAAATGGGGGACACCTGGCTTGAGAGCAGTACATGTGAAAAGGATCTAGGAGTCTTGGTTGACCACAAACTTGACATGAGCCAACAGTGTGACGCGGCAGCTAAAAAAGCCAATGCAATTCTAGGCTGCATCAATAGGAGTATAGCATCTAGATCAAGGGAAGTAATAGTGCCACTGTATTCTGCTCTGGTCAGACCTCACCTGGAGTACTGTGTCCAGTTCTGGGCACCACAATTCAAGAAGGACACTGACAAACTGGAACGTGTCCAGAGGAGGGCAACCAAAATGATCAAAGGCCTGGAAACGATGCCTTATGAGGAACGGCTAAGAGAGCTGGGCATGTTTAGCCTGGAGAAGAGGAGGTTAAGGGGTGATATGATAGCCATGTTCAAATATATAAAGGGATGTCACATAGAGGAGGGAGAAAGGTTGTTTTCTGCTGCTCCAGAGAAGCGGACACGGAGCAATGGATCCAAACTACAAGAAAGAAGATTCCACCTAAACATTAGGAAGAACTTCCTGACAGTAAGAGCTGTTCGACAGTGGAATTTGCTGCCAAGGAGTGTGGTGGAGTCTCCTTCTTTGGAGGTCTTTAAGCAGAGGCTTGACAACCATATGTCAGGAGTGCTCTGATGGTGTTTCCTGCTTGGCAGGGGGTTGGACTCGATGGCCCTTGTGGTCTCTTCCAACTCTATGATTCTATGATTCTATGATTCCTGATGCTCACATTAGTGTGTAAAGTCCTAGACAACGAGAAACCCGAATAATTGAAAGACCACATCTGGCTTAGTTTGCACTTTGATCTAAGTGCTACATCTAACCTGGGCTCATGGTTTGTCTCATTCCAGAATCTGTAACCATTAGCAGGAGACAAAGCTTAGTGATAGCCCATCAAGGAAACCATCAGATGACAAGACTGCCAGGAAAGCAGGGTGCTAATTGTTGTTGTTGTTTAGTCGTTTAGTCGTGTTCGACTCTTCATGACCCCATGGACCAGAGCACACCAGGCACTTCTGTCTTCCACTGCCTCCCGCAGTTTGGTCAAACTCATGCTGGTAGATTCGATAACACTATCTAACCATCTCGTCCTCTGTCGTCCCCTTCTCCTTGTGCCCTCCCATCTTTCCCAACATCAGGGTCTTTTCCAAGGAGTCTTCTCTTTTCATGAGGTGACCAAAGTATTGGAGCCTCAGCTTCACGATCTGTCCTTCCAGTGAGCACGCAAAGGCCAGGTTTAGAGTTTCAACTTGAAGTGATGTAGGCTGGGGGAGATCCTTGGAGTCAGTTAGCAGTGAGGAGGAGGAGGAGAGGCAGAACTCTATGTGAACTGGGAATGAAAGGCTGGAACTAAGAGACACAGAGGTGGCTTTTTGCTGTCCATTAAATCCAGTGCTGTCCTTAATGGGGAAGCCAGACCCTCATAGGGTCTGCAATACCTCCATCTAGGTGCAGGTTGTATATATGTGTAAATAAAGCCATATATCATAAAGCCACCACAGTTTCTGTTGTGCCTCCTGTTCTCAAAAGAGAACACAAGCCTGCAACCCCTGGAATCTTGCACCACTCATGGAGATAGTAGCGATGTGTAACCATAATATATTCTCCTTTGCACGATCTCTTCTGAGGACAATATTTGTAGCACAATGATGAATCCACATTACTCAGTACAGATGGATTTTGATCACTGTGGCGAACTGATCTGTCACTAGAGAAACATTATCTCCATGTGAAGAGCCTGTTTCCTTTTCCACTTGGAGGCATTTGATGTCGGCAGCAGGACAGTTGGAGCTAAGAGCAGATGTCTACAAGTAGGTGATTTAGTTGTATGAAAGAGCTAGCGCAGGTAAGTCAAAGAAATCTCGAGTGCATAGAGCTGAGTTCATTCCAGGGTTAGCCTGAGAAAGCAACAGTAAATAGTTGCCAAGCATAAGTAAACAATTCCAAATAACTGTAGTTTTCTGCCACACTGCCTGCATTCGCCATATGGCAGTCCTGTGGACATGCTCCAGGAAAAACAACTTAATCATCCCAAAGCTTTCAGTAGCTTCCTCCTTGCCTCAGTAAAGAAAGGTGATTTCTATTTTTAACATCATTCATTGGCATGATTAAGCAGACTGAAATGTGTCCCCTGCATGGAATCTGTTGTTTTGGTGTTTTAGTTAAATGTAAATTTATACAGAGCTGACTCATGTAAAAATGCTGCTCAAAGTAGTCCAGGACCAAATTTTTTTTTTTAAAAAAAGCATCATAAAACATAGCACATAATAACAATTTAAAAAGACACTGAAACTACACCAAACAACAATAAATGCATTGTGAAGTAACACCACTTATGAAGCTCCTTGGTGGTGGGAGGGGACAATGAGATAGCTCAAAGAGGTAGAGAACTCATGGGATGAATTTTGGGAGTGGGGCTGAGGCATTTTCATGGTCCCGCCGATACAATCATGGAAACCTCAAGAAATTGGCAATTGCACATATCAGGTAAGCCCAGGAAAATAGATATTGTTCTTACTATACTGGCAATCTCAGGTGTCTCAGATAACCATCAATTAGTACTGAAGTTGTTACCTTTGGGCTAACCTTAGGCAGCTCTGCATGCTCTGTTGCTACTGCCTCTGAATACCAACTTCTGGCAATCTCAGGTGGTGCAAGTGCTATTGCACTCAGGTTCTCTTTGGTAGGACACTGTGAGAAAAGAATGCTGGTTTAGATGAGCTTTTGGCTGATCCAGCTAAACCAGCCTTTCTCAACCTTGGTTCCCCAGATGTTGTTGGACTACAAACCTCATCATCTCTATCTGGCAGGACCAGTGGCGAATGATGGTGGAAGATGCAGTCCAAGAACGCCTGGAGACCCAAGGTTGAGAAAGGCTGAGCTAGCCTTCTTCTGGTTCCAGAGGTTCCATGTTACATTTGCCATCTGCTGGAAAATACGTAGTCACTTCACTAGCTGTAACACACAAACTGGTTGATTTAGTAGCAAACAAACCTAAACAATAATTATGCTCATTAGTCTATAGCTCAGAACTTTACCTCCATCTTAAGCACTGTCTTTGTCCTATCTTCTGGCTACTGTATGTGGTCTTTCTTGCTTAGGCAACCTTAGCTAGGATACTAGGTTTTTTTACCCCTTGTTACCCACACAAGGAAGGAAATTATAATCAACATTCAAAATGTAACAAAGCACTCATTCCAGTTTGCTGTGGTGACGTGCCGCTACCACCATTGGCTAAATCCTTGCCTGCCCATACATAGGAAAGTATTTGGCAGTAAGCAATTTTTAAGGCGATAAGTATTTGCACATGCAAGGGATGTAGGATGGAATCATTTTGTCTCTTTTGCAAACACTTGTTTCTCCCTGATTTGGTCTAAAGTTTGGCACAGCACCAGCAAAACTATAAATTCATTTGCCTCACGTAGGACAATTTGCATTGCACTTTGCACATCCCAAAGTTCTTCATTATAAGGGCTGAAAAATGACATTTTTGTGGCTTAAAGAAAATAATTAGAAATTGCATTCAGCCTCTGCCCGCAATCATATTATTAGCATTACCTTGATATTTAGTACTTCAGTTAGCAGGAAATTTCCACTAGCAGTCTATAGTTCATGCTGTAGCACCAAGAGATGATGCAGTCTTGTTATCCTGGAGATGGATCCTGTCTACAACTACAGTGGTACCCCGCAAGACGAATGCCTCGCAAGACGGAAAACCCGCAAGACGAAAGGGTTTTCTGTTTTGGAGGCGCTTCGCAAGACGAATTTCCCTATGGGCTTGCATCGCAAGACGAAAGCCCATAGGGAAATGCTGGCGGTCGGGAGCAAAGACTTTCGCCCACAGCCGGCCTTCAGAAGAGGACCTCTTCTGAAGGCCGGAGGGGGGCAAAAGTCTTGCCCCCCCCCCCGCCTGCCTTCCCCCCGCCTGCCCCGGGCGATCTTAAAATGCTGGCGGGCGGGAGCGAAGCGTTCGCAGCCGACCCCCAGCATTTTAAAATCTCCAAGGGACAGCAGAGAAGTCTCTGTCCCGGGGAGATTTTAAAATGCTGGGGGTCGGGAGCGAAGCGTTAGCTGCCGACCACCAGCATTTTAAAATCTCCCCCTGTCCCGGGAAGGTTTTAAAATGCTGGGGGTCGGGAGCGAAGCGCTGCCGACCCCCAGCATTTTAAAATCTCCCCGTGTCCCGGGAAGGTTTTAAAATGCTGGGGTCGGGAGCGAAGCGCTGCCGACCCGCAGCATTTTAAAATCTCCCCGTGTCCCGGGGAGATTTTAAAATGCTGCGGGTCGGCAGCGCTTCGCTCCCGACCCCCAGCATTTTAAAACGCTGTTCCGAAGGGGGGGGCGGGGACAACTGCCCCCAGCCGCCCCACTTCGGAAAGCTGTTCCGAAGTGGGGAGGGGGGGGCGGGGACACCTGCCCCAGCCGCCCCACTTCGGAAAGCTGTTCCGAAGCGGGGAGGGGGGGCGGGGACACCTGCCCCAGCCGCCCCACTTCGGAAAGCTGTTCCGAAGCGGGGAGGGGGGGCGGGGACACCTGCCCCAGCCGCCCCACTTCGGAAAGCTGTTCCGAAGCGGGGAGGGGGGCGGGAACAACTGCCCCAGCCGCCCCACTTTGGAAAGCTGTTCCGAAGTGGGGAGGGGGGGCGGGGACACCTGCCCCAGCCGCCCCACTTCGGAAAGCTGTTCCGAAGTGGGGAGGGGGGGCGGGGACACCTGCCCCAGCCGCCCACTTCGGAACGCTGTTCCGAAGCGGGGCGGGGGGCGGGATCACCTTCTGAAGGCGGGCAGGGGGCGAAAGTCTTTGTCCCCCCTGCCTGCCTTCCCAGGGGCTTTTAAATCGCCCCGGACAGCGGAGAAGTCCTCCGCTGTCCCGGGGCGATTTTAAAATGCCGCCCGCCAGCATTTTAAGATCGCCCCGGACAGCGGAGAAGTCCTCCGCTGTCCAGGGTTTTTTAAAAATGCTGGGGGTGGGAAGAAAAGCCCTTGTCCCCCCCCAGCCTTCAGAAGAGGTCGGGACAGACGTCCCGGACTTGGTCTGAAGGCGGTTTCCCTAGGAACGCATTAATTGGATTTTCAAATGCAATTCCTATGGGAAACCGTGCATCGCAAGACGAAAAAACCGCAAGACGAAGAGACTTGCGGAAAACGAATAATTTCGTCTTGCAGGCACACTGTAATGCATTTGAAATAATA